GAGAGAGAGAGAGAGAGAGAGAGAGAGAGACACACACACACACACCCACACACGCACACCCACACACACACACACACACCCACACACACACACACACACACTCACCAAAACAGCCGCGGTGCAGAGACACGAAACGCACTCATGCACCAATTTTGCACCCGAACGTGCAAAAACAAAAGCAAGAGCGCAATAAACAATAGTTCGTTTTACTGCACAAGCCATCAAAAATGGAAGCGCAATTTTATAAGTTTTCCATGACTATTATAAGTCGTTTAACTTTAGTAACCAGTTTGTAAGTTTTTGTAGCAAACTAAGTTAGCGTAAGTGTCATAACCATTGATATACGCACGGAACTTATAACATGACTTATCGAGGTTATAAGTTAACTTACCGAACTTGTAACTTCAGCAAGTTCGCTGGGCCCTACTTGCAGGTGCCGTGGGAGCCGGCTTGGACACTGCGCCTGGCAGCAGTGCTCAGTCAGTTGGGTGCTCAAGGCGCGAATGCGGAAACAGCGCTCTCCGCTCACCTTAGATGTTGCAAGAGCAAACGGTGTGCAGAACGCGCGCCGCGCTGCCGCGAGCGCCTCAGGAGCCAACTTGCGCTTGGCCAGCGGCTTGAGCAACGCGCTGCTCCAGGCTGCAGGGAAATGCAGGAAAGGGCCACAAATCGCTGAAGCATGGAAGAGACAACCGTGAGAGCTTTCAACATGTAGCCTGGATGGGAACTTTGATTACTACTTAAGATAAGGTCTACGAGAGAGGTCGGGCAATGTGAGGCAACCGCAGATGTGCCCACTCTTCTGGACAGGCCGTGGTGACGTGAGAGTTGGTCTGTATACAATCATCCTGGGAGTTACGTTCAGGTGCCAAGGCTTCGCAAATCACTACGTTTTCGCGGTCTTGGTTGAGGAGCTAGAGGCGCAGCAGTGAGCAGTGAGCAGAGTGTCAGGGCGTATTTAGTCTTTGTAGCGTTGTCCTGAAGGAGCAGTGTTCGGCTGGAGCGATGCCTCTCTCCGAGTTGGTGCCGCTCCTCCAAGGACTTGCCATGGCAAACGGGGGCGGCTCCGCGTACCAAAACCACCTGGGCCCTGGCATGCTCGCCTGCCTGCGCACGGGGCTTGCGACATCCGGCGTCGCAGCCCTCTCCACGCCGCAGCTTCTGCAGCTCCAGAGCTCGGTGCCTTGTCTTGTGGGAAGAAGGGGGTGCGGTGTCTTGCAGTGTTTTGCACTGCAGGTCGGAAAGGACGGGCCGCTTGCCGAGCTCATCGCAGATCTGCCGTCGCGGGTTCAGAGGATGTCTCTACCTGAGCTGGCGGCGGCGGCGCCAGTGTTGAGTACAGAAAATGCTGCGTGGGCACGGCTGGAGGAGCTGACACGAGTGGACTTAGACTCAGAGAGCTTTGAAATTGCGCTGGCAGTGGCCTGCGCGCTGAAGTCTCCTCCTCTCAAAGAGCACTGCAAGATCCTTGAGCAACTGGAATCTGCAGCGGCCTCCGCATCCCCAAGCTTGCAAGCGCGACTCTTGCTGCTGGCGCTTCGCGGAGCCGGGGAATCGAAGGAATCGAAGGCGCAGGAAGAGATGGACACGAAGGCTCGAAGCCTTGTGGATCGCGTACTGACAGATGTGGGTGGGCGGTTAGCTGCAGCAGACCTCGCTGGCATTCCCTGGAACCATGCAGCAGAGCTGCTTCAGGCACTGGCGAGCAGTTCAGCGCAGGCACCACCGGGGCTGGTGGGTGGTTTGGTGGAGGTGATCTTTGCCGGGGACATGTTTGATCGGACGCTTGGCGAACTGGCGACTGTATTCTTCGCCTTGGCAGAGCTGGGGGCGGATCTCGAGAATCTCGCAACGCGTTGTGACCTGGCGGCAAAGCTCGCTTCCGCCGGCGAACTGGAGCAGGAGGCCTTGATCCGGCTTTTCTGGGCGATGGCCATTGGCAAAGTCCAGGACCCGGTGGCCTGGCAGCTCTGCACGCAGCTCTGCAGGGCACACCTCGCCGATGGCTCTTCTTTGCCGGAACCCTTGGCTCAGCTCCGCTCTGAGGCACGGGCCGTCCGTTGCGCAAAAGCTGTTCATGTCAGATCTGATTAAACCTCTCCGGCCTTCCAAACCTGTCCGTTGCAAAGATTATGTCAGCACTACTCTCGAAGGCTTACATCCGCGTCGGACAGGCTACCCCGAGCCTCTCCTAGCACCTGGCATCTTGCCTAAGGCCTAAATGCCTTCAAAAGGTTCTGACCAGCAGCACGTCGAGCATCAAGTCTTTGTCAACAAAAACGCAGTGAGAGGACCCATTGCTAGTAAGTACATGGTCTTATTTCCAGACCGACAGATCAGATCCGTTTCATAGTGCCAGGCACACACCATGTCCTTTAGCTGTCGGTGCGTAACGTAAAGACTTGCCGGCTCGGCAGTTGAATCTGCACGCGTGCTGTGCGCAACAGGATGAATTTGCATTCGCGTATTCCCCTGAATTCCTTTGGCCAGATTTGATGGGTCAATTTGCTGACCACATATACATCATCGAAGAATCAAATTAGGAGCATTGTCCTGTACAGAAGATGCTGACTTCTGAGTGGATCATGAAGGGGTGGGAATGCGTCCGTGTTCGCGGCTTGGGGCACTTGATCGTCGAAGACAAGGTCATGGGACAAGGCATGAAGCCGGGTAGCGAAGGGTTCGGTTCAACGGCCGAGCCTGAGAAGGCAACCTGAAAACAGGCCGTCCTCGACAGCCAGGTACCAATCTGCAGGTCTAGTCGCTCCCTGAAGCCGCTGCGTTGATCGGAGAGTTTACAGAGTGGAGGCTGAGGAGGCGCGGCGCCAGCAGCTGCTGGAAGAAGAGATGCAGCCCAAGGCCGCCAAGGCCCGCAACTTTCGGTTCACTGGGAGAAGTGTGCCAAAAGCGGCCATGCTTTCATGCAAACAGCACGGGAGAGCGCTGACTCTCCTAAGGCACTTGTACAGAAATGCTAGAATAATTTAATTCTCCTCCCCAAAAAATGTTTGCAACGTGCAGCTCTTGCAGGCTGCAGGCCAGGCAAGGGCGGCATTGGTGACAAGGCCCGCGGCAGGCTGGCGCCACAAAGAGGCCTGTGTGCCACCAGTCTGCAGTTTTTTTGGCCACGGGAGTCCGGCTTTTTGTCCAGGGGCAGGCTCTTACCGAGCTGAAAGTAGGCGCCAAGGGGTCAATCTGGCATGATTTGTTGAGGATGTCCATGCTGTTTTCTCTGGCGAACAGGCCGCATCGTGAGTGGCAAGGCTCCCTTGCATCACCTTCACGCCTTTCCCGGAAGATGGGGAGTTCGGAATGCGGTTCAGGTCACCAACTGCTACCGGGACATGGTCTTCGTGGATATCAGCGCGGCTCCTTGGGCCTAATAGATGTGCAGGCTGCCATAAGCTGCCACCATGCGCGCACCTTGTTTTGATTGCATACTGCATACAGCTGCGTACCACTTGTAGGAGCAAGACGGCTGCTTCCGTTCACCCAAAGGGCAGCAGTTCCGGGTCGGCGAGACTCTGCGGAACCTGGCCATCCGCGCAGTCGACCTCGAGAAGGCAGAGAGCAAGAATTCCGCGAAAGCCTTCGGAGGCAAAGTGACCTCGGCGGTGCGTTGTGAGTTGTGAGGGCTACGTCCACCTTTCCGCACCCAAGCCGCCCAAGACGGCCAAGCCCTCGAAGGCGCGAACATGCCCAAGCGCTTCTCAAGCCGAGCCGAGCCGAGCCGTCCCAAGGGCAAAGCACCGGCGGGTCAATCCCAATCGCAGGCCGACCAGCAGCTTCAAGAGCTTTGCCCCGTGGTGTCTAGAGTCTAGAGTGTGGAACCTTGCTTGAGTGGCATGTCGGCATGTCCATGTCTCAGCTTCGGCATGAAGCTCGTCATTGGTGATCCCTGCAATGCAGTGGACAGTTTGCAAACATCCGCTTTGCTCCACAGAGCATCGGAGCCACAGGATGTAGAGGAAGCCTGTGATGGGCTCGCCTCACTTGCGAACGCCTTCAATCATTCTGCCAGCATAGGGCAGGCACAATTGGGAGACTGCCCTTCACAGCCAGGTCTGGACAGCATTGTCCACCAAGCCCACATCAGGCTGGCAACACAAAGAGGTCCGCCGGTGCAGGATTCGCAGAAGTGCGTAGCCGTGCGTAGCCGCGTCGGCTTGGGGCTTGCAAGTTTGCGCTTTGCAATTTGGCTTATTCTGCGCAGGGGCAGCCTCTCGCAGAATTGGAAGTAGGTCATCTGCCCTGTCACTGTTGTGAGCGACTCCTGCTGCACAGAGATGCCGCCTAAGCTTTGCAAGGTCGCATCGTAAGCGGAAAGGCCCCGACGCTTTGTGTTATCCTGATTCGAAAGGCAATAACACCTGACTGCGATCAGGTCACAAACTGTTTCCTGAACCGGGTCTGGGTGGACATTGGGGCCGATACTCGGATCACTTTGCTTTTTCTGAACAGGCATCTCCCCACGCTGCCCTGTCTGAGGAGAAGGATGGCTGCTTCCGTACAGCTGGGCGGCGCTTCCAAGTCGGGGAGGTGCTGCAGAACCTCCAAATTCGAGCCGTTGACCTGGACAAGGCTTGGGCCCTCGCGAGCGCAAGAGGGCAGTCTTCGTACAGTGCATGCTTGCGGTTACTGACAGGGCTTCGTGCACATCTCGTCACCGAGCTGAGCTTCCGAAAGGAAACAGAGCGTCAAAAAGAGTCGCCTTCCCTTCCCGTTCTGCCATCCGAAATTTGTCGATACGTCCTCCGATGACCGGGATAGTCGCCACGACAGCCGTGAGTGCAAGGTCGGAGGCCGGTGCTGAGCGTGGAGGGTGAAGGCACCCCTGCACGCTCGAAGTTCTCGCTAGCGGCTCTTCGCCTCTTGAAGTCTTTCTCTCCATTTCTGCCTTTCCTCTTTGTGTCTTCACCTCTGTCTTTGAGGCTCTGGCTCCAACGGCTCCAGCTCTTTGAACTCACTCTCCGCCGCCCTTGGCCTGCGTCCAAGCCAAGCTTTTCTCGAAAGTCTGTGAGACTTTCAAGATGCACAAAATGCCCCTGCCCTCCTACTCTCCTCTCCATCTCTGAGGCGAGGAGCGCAGCGAGCGGCTCCGGCTCAGCGCCGAGCAGCGCCGCCCGGGCCCCGGCGCCGGACCCGCGCCAGCGGGCCATCCCGTGCCGCGCTCTCCGTCCTCTGTTGTATATAAGGCATGGCAAAGCAGGCCGAGCAGCTGGAAAGCAGCGGCCCGAAACGAGAGCCACAGCCACTTTCAGCACAGAGGGTCTCAGGTCGGCTGGGTCTCAGGTCGGCTGCAGACGGCACAAGAGCAGCTGGCGCAGGTCGCCCGCGCGCAGCAGGAGGCAGGAAGTGCAGCACGGTGGAGTCTCTGTGTCTGGTTTCCGGCCCCTGGTTTCAGGCGGGCACGTCCTCTCCAGGCGGAGGGCAGGGGGGCCGGGAGGGGGCCGGGCCCGCGAAATCACGCCAGGAGCTGGGACGTCGAGGTCCCATCCTCAGGTCCCGGTGTTTTGGCCAGTCGCCTGCGCTTTGCGGCTCCGCCTTGAGCTCGCCATGCCAAGCCGTCACAATCCTGGGACATCCGCCGGCTGCATGCCGTATCAGTTCCTATCTATTTTGTCTTGTGCTTTGGTGCTCTGCCGCGACATGCTTCGTTCGACAGGACGTGACTGCAAACAAGCATCAATACCCGACCGTGGATGCTGTTCGGCGCTACAGACCCAGAACCGCACTCACCTGCGCTTTTCAAGCTCGGGCATCCCACGAAGCGAACAATGCTGTGGCCATCATCGCTCGGTATGTGGATCTCGGGTGTAGCCCACAAGCCGATTTGCCGATGGTGGGTCCAGCTCCAAAGACTGAGGATCAGGCTCGATATGTGGACATCGGTTAGACTCGTAGCCCAACACTCGGAGAGGCTAGGAGCGTGAATTTCGATAAATTGATTTGGACTTTCGATCGGCACAAGAAGTTCTCAAGCAAAGCTGGGAAATCCAGAAAAAGCTGTTATGTTTTGCCCAATTAAATTAACTAAGCATTCTGCGATGGCATTTGCGGCTTTTGAGTTTGACAATCCCGGCTTTGGGGATGCTCAGATCAGTGCGTATTTTACTTCCTCGTCTCACCCGAGCCAGTGTATGTTGTTTGGCTGAAGTCTTCCAAGTCAATGCACAATCATCGGCAAGTGCCGACTAAAAGTAGGGCCGGGGACCGTGAGCTGCTTACGTATAACTTAAGCTACAAAACTTATCAAACGTCGCTTAAGTAATAGTCATATGCGCTATAAGTAAATTATGAGTCCAATAGCTCTTTATAGCTTATTTCGTGTTGTTGTTAAATGTTTCGCCAGTTTAAAAAAATATAGTGCAAAACACCTCGTGCCTCACTGCAGCTAGGTTGCTTAGGATCCAAAATGAAACAGCAAAATTACATGTAGTGTTTCTTCACGGAAATCAACGCGTGCAGCTTATTCAGAATCTGTGGACGTGGGAACGCTGAAACAGGCATGCGTTTGCCATGAATTCCAAGCAATGGGCTCCCTTTTTCCCTGCTTTGGGCCAGGATCTACAGGAAAAGCGCGGTAATTTCGTTGCTTCGAAGGCAGATGCTAATCCAGAAAGTCAGTTGTGGCGGTCCGCGACGGTTGAGATCAGCAGCTTCGGTGGTCCACGAGGATTCTCAAGATGTATCGCAAAGATGCTCAAAAAAGATTACAGAGCAGAAAGTTGACACGACTCCGCAAACCTCCATAAGTTTAGTCTGATAAGCAACGGCTGTGGTTCTTCACGTGCTGGAAGTATAAAGTTTATTATTATTAAAGTTTATCGTGAAAAGCACAACTGCGTTCGCTCCATGTTCGGAAAGCAACATATGCTTCAAAACAGTTTTCGCATGCTTTACTTTAAGCTGCACATGTTTGGCACAAATGAAAAACCTGCAACACAGCGCAAGAGTCGCATGCTAATTCGACGGAGAAGCCTGCAAATACATAGGAGCCGCTGTGCTCCGCGCAAAGGGTGTCTGGAAAGTCCAAAGAGGCGTTGGCACGACTCGGAAAGCCGCGCGTGCAACGCAAACGCACAGGATGGCTTGCTTTTGCGGAGGTTCCGCGACAAGTTCTCTTCTGCTTGGCGCAGTCGCATAAATGTTGCTGGAGGTGACAATACGATGTTGGTTCACACGACATCATTCGACAATTTTCGACAATTTTTCTTCCGGGCTAGATTCACTAACTATATCATATTCGACAATCGGCATTCGACAATCATCCCCTAATCAAAGTCCTTAGTGGTTGCATGGCATTAGACATGACAACTGTGGGCATCAAAACATGTAGGTTGACTTCGCGCCCTGCTCAAGCGAAGAAAGCTCAAAAACCAAAGCATGCTGCTCAGCCATGTTTCATGCTTCCATGTCCAAGCACAAGTACGCGGATCACTTTCCCGCGCTTTTGATTTGGCAGGCCCATCGCACACAGCCGTGCTCCCAACACCTGCATGCAGCGTTTAAATAACTGCACCGCACAGCACTGTGCCCACCAGTTTTGACCAAGCCTGATCAGTCAAGTAGTACAAAGGTGGCAAACTCCAGCCTTGCATATGGGCGCATGATCTCTCCGTTTTTGCGGACCACTGCGGTTCGCTACCAGCATTTTGCTCAACAATGCAGGTTCGGACTCAGAGCCATCCATCGCAGCAATTTGCATCCGCACATGTGTAGTCTCCCAGCTAGCTCAAAAGTCTCTCCGCAAGATACGTTTGCAGAGCAGCTGCTGATGGATTGAAGACTGATGCGCGGCACCACGGCTGAAACGCATCGGCTGCATCATGCCGGCGGGATGCGCGGCTGCTCCATCATACCCGAAAGATGCGCGGCAACAGCGCTTGGCTGCATGCCAGAGGCGGAAGCGATCCGCGGCATCAACTCGTTTGCACTATTCATTCATAGTGACAGTGTTGTTGTTTCAACCTATCGTGTTCTGCAGGTGATCCAACACTTACTTTAGAATTGTCCATGCCTTGTGTTGTGTTTGTACCGGCCTACAGTGCGCTGAAATGCTACAATCTTCAGGATGCTAGTTTTTTTGGGCTTCTATCACTGGTTTTCCTATGACTCTCAGCATTTTGAGCCGAAAACTTTCTGCAGCTCAAGATCCGATTTACAGCTGTTGAGTTGTTGCCTGTGAATTGAGCGCCTGCCCTCCCGTACCCATGCTGCAGTGAACACACGCAACACAATGAAAATGCATTTGTTAAAGCTTGCTTTCTGGATACATTTTGAAAAGTTGCGCCATCTTCGTTACATTTCATAAGTTCCATAACTTCCGATAACTCTTTTCTGCACCCTAGGATCCTCGAACTTATAATTTGTTAATTACTAAGTTGGTTAGCTTCCTTGAGTTCTATCAGAAGTTGTAACTTTACTTAGCTGCCCAAGTCGCCAAATGATGAAAGCTTTAAGTTTTTAAGTCAGCTACTGTAGTTGTCCCCGGCCTTCCCTAGAGATCAATTTTGGATTGCATAGACGCGTCATCGCCGTACCAGGCGGGGATGTCTAAAATTGGTTGGTGTACAAGAACGGCTAGAAAAACAAACGCTGTAGCTGCAGCAAAGGGGTGGTTCGTAAAAAATCAAAAATCATCGTTCGTGTGTATCGTTTTTTTAAACGCCAGCTAGCATTTTCGCGCTTAAACATGTCTAAATTTGTGTAAACATGTTTATTCGTGGCTAAAACTAGCATGTAGGACCACTGCCTGCATCTTCCACCAATCCGAGTGTGCAAACTGTTTCGACGTTGGTGGCTCAGCAGTTTTCCCGAATTTGTACTGTGGACTGGGCCCCGGGCTCGTTCAGGCAGCAAAACTGCACGCTTGAACAACTGCGGGGCATAGTGTAGTGAGCGAAAACTTGTTCAACTCTTTCTTGCAACATTCCACTATCTTACATTTCAAGCTGTTTTCTTTCCATTCGTTGATTCGTGTTGACAGTCCTGTCACTTTGCCTGGTCAATCCTGAAAATAAAACGTTCTCGTCCGCCAGCGCGGCGCTAGATCTTCCATCTCCGTTCCATATTTCTGGCAGAATGGGATACGTTGTCATCAACAAGACACGCTTGGCTCCACCAGTTTCCAAAAAGGAAGGCCTGTAACGCTCCGAACCACTGCAACCGCAGCAGGAATCGGGGGTACACTGGCGAGCCTTTCGAACAGGCTTGCCAAATTTGCTTGGCCTCTCGGTTCTTGGATTCGTCGCTGTACACCCAAAACCCGGCGGAACACCTCCTCACTCCACCACCGGCTCTGCCGTGTGCCAAAAATAGTGAAACTTTGGGTAGGTTGGAAACCCACAGTGCGCAAAATGATACATGTGTACAGCAGCCAACAACCTCCATCGGGACATATCCGGTGAGCTAAGCCTGATCTTCGCTCCCGGGACATGTCCCGATGGAGTTTGTTGGCTGTTGTACACATGTATCATTATGCACACTGTGGATTTCCAACCGACCCAAAGTTTCACGACAGTTTGCACACCAAGCAAATTTGGCAAGCCTGCTCGAAAGGTGGGTCTGTGTACCCCCAAGTCCTGCTGCGTTTGCACTGGTTCGGGGCAATACAGGCCCTAGAATCGTAAACCGCATATTGGAAGAAGATGACCTTTGTTGAAAATTCGAGTGTGCCATGCTTGTGTTCGTGCAGTCTGTTTGCAACGTGTTTCAGTGAACTGCTAGCCGTGTGACCCTGGTAGTCCATCGTTGCATGTGTATGGTTTGGACGGCCCAGAAGCTGTCACCCACCCAGACCGGACCCACCGATTACAATCATTACAATAAGGCCGTTATGTTTGGGTTAACCTTTCACATGGAAGGGTTTAATTTCGCTAAACTAACAGTCACATCTCCACTTTTGGCCCGGGCACCAACTACAATGCAGAATTTCGTGACAGTTGTTGATGGGCCCGGGCGCGCAAGAAACTCGTTCGGGATTGTTTACTTTTCCACTTCTTCCCCAGCCAACGATGTCCTAACATTTGTTTGGACCCCGGGACACTTGTTGTGGAAAAACACAGCAGAATTGGAATTGGCCCTCGGTATAGGGCAGATTTTCCTGGCATGTGTTTTGGCCCCAGGCCTGAATTTTCTGACATGTGTTGTGGCCTCGGGGAAAGCGCAAAATTTCTTGACATTTACCTTGGCCCTGGGTTTCAAACAGAACTTACCGACGTTTTTGGACCCGGTACTGCAAAGTTTCTGACATGTTCTAGCTACGCATACCTCAAAGTGAAGCTGGTTGCTGATGTCACCTCATGGTTGATCTTGACCTCGCACGTGTTTTTGCTCTGAGTACACTTGAACAGTCTGCTAGAACCGATCATTTTCTCCACACCGTAACCATGTTTTTGACATGTTTTCTCGTGTCTAGACATGTTTATAATGATTTCAAGGTTGATGACCATATCATTGCACTGCTGAAACGCATGTGTATTCATGTTTAAAGTACATGCGTATTTCTGCTCGTGTTTGAAATTTTAAAAGAGGTGAAGGTGTCTAAAAACCCCAAAATTCACGTTTAAAAGCCTGAGGATATGTTGAAAATCCAGTTTTTGTTTAAAACCCAGCATGTTTATTTTCAATAATATTGTAAATAAAATGCAGTACGCGCGGCTGAGCTGTTTCGACGCGAAAAGGTTTTAGACGCTGTGGTGATTTCCACAGTGCTGCACTTAATATTTTGGACGCGCCCTCTGATCTCTAGGGTTTTTTGTAGTGTTCGTAAATCGACCGAATAGGTCCGCCATCCGTGTGCAAAACGAGGCTGGCATTGCTGGCAGGCAGGTCCCGGCGGGTCTCTGGCTCCGGGTCTCGATCGCCCGCATCTCAGATTCAGTTCGAGAGACACCTGTGTTCTTGTGGTGTTGGTCGCTCTGGGGTTTGGGTGCAGGCTTGGCTCGCGGCTGATCGGACCTATCGAGGAGGCTGCGGGGACTGCCTGCCATGCCCAGAAAGATGCGCAAGAAGTCGCCTTGAGGAAGAGGAGGACGAGGATGGGAACAAAGCAAAAGCGAAGGGAACAGCAACCCAGCTGGCGCAGCGCCGCTCTCTGAAGGGCCTGCTTCTCGGAGCTTTATACGCCCAATGCGCCATGTAGGTTGAGCCCGGTCTCGTCAAGTTGCTGAGGTTGGGAGGCTTCCGAGCCACCCGCAGCTCCCGAAAGCGACGGAGGTCCAGCGGCCAAGCGCATTTTTACTCGAAACTGCTCCTCTCCAGGCATCTTCTCGCGGATCCTTGGAAGGTCGGACAGTCAACGGTGTCGACGGTCGGACACGGACTGCCCCGTTGCGGCAGGTAGCTGACGGCTGCTGCCCCTCCGGCTACCAAGACTCCGCCGCCGCCATGGGTTCGAGAAGAAAGTTGCAGCTCCTTTTTGCATTCCAGGCACCGTACTGTCTTCGGCACTCTAGTCTAGTTTTGTCATTCTGTTTGTTATGGTGTGCTCCCTTATTGGTTTTTGTCGAGGCCACGGGCCCGAGTTAGGATTCCAGTCTGTGTTGCTTGGTTGCGTTTGCATCACTGTTGGCTTACAGGACGTGAGTGGCAGAATTTCCGGATTAGAGTGTTGTCGCAAGAGTCATGGCATCTCTTCTCGAAGTTGTGACCACAGCGGGTTGCCTCTTTTGCCTGGCTGCCAGCCGCAACTGCAGCACTGCCGGATCGCTGCTGCTTCAAGGTCGGACACTCCGCTCAGCTTCGTGGGCGAATGACTCGACTCGCATGCCGCCGAATGAGAACTGCTGTGGGAATAATGCCGTGTGCAATCAATTGTTCGACGTGCCGTTTGAGTACGAACAAGTTGGAAGCGTTTTACGCATGAAGTGCCCCAACCGTGGAAGTGATTGTGCGTTCGACAATTGTGTTGGTGGTACTGGCGTGGACTGCTCTGGCGTGCCTTACGATCTCGACTTTGGTGTCATCGGCACGCTGTCGGTCAACCTTGTGGCTCCAATAGATAATGGCGATGGAACCGTCACGCTGAAGACAAGCGCGCCCTCACTTCATTTTTTCTGTATGGCTTGCTGGGCAATTTTGTGAGCTTGCAATGCTGCGGCTTTTTCTGTGCAATGTTGCATGCGCTGCCTCATGCTCGAATCGTCTGAGGTTGGATCGATCCTCCACGATCTCTGCTGTATGGAGCATCAGTCTGGTGCTTTCTGCCACGGCAGCAACTACCCTATCGGAGCGACCATCAATGCCCTTGGCAACACGAACAATGACTGCGCATGTCTCATGGAGTGGCGAAAAGCTGCTTGGAATGTGCTGCGAGGCAGGCTGTTTCCCTTGCCAATTCAGTTTGTGCATTTTGCTATATGCGCGCCAGTCGGACAGGCCGGTACTGGTTGGCCAAATTTACGAAGGCTGCACAAAGCCAAGCCTGTTGCTCATCTTTTCGCTTCAGCCTTCCTTCGTCTCCCGGTCAAAAGGCCGTGTGCTTGCCGTGAGGATATGACTCCCGTCCCGTCTTTGCAGCGCAAGTCTGGCACCCAACCGAAGCTTTCCACCTCGATGCGATGGAGGGACTTAGTCACGCCGAGGTCTTACCTGCCCAAAGGCTCCGGCACCAACTACGAGAGCTACAAAAGCACATGGGGCCTGACTGAAAGGACACGGCTGCGCAGAAGGAAGAAACTTCATTCAGCCCACCGGCAAGCGCAGCGGGGTCAGCGGGGTTCACGTAGCTGCTGAGGTATTGAGCTGCGACAAAATTGTGCCCCTGTGGACCACGCATGATCAGGCTCAGTTACACACAAAATTCACTGGGAAACTGCACGGATGGCAGTGAAATGCAGTGTCCGATGTAATGGTCGTTGTGTTACAGAACAATGACACACACTTGATCAAATCGCTTTGCAAAATTCGAGGCCAGGCAACCATGCGACCCGACCCTGACAACAGTCTGAGGCTTGGAAATCAGGTAATGTCGAAAGAGATTTGAAAGTGCTTGAAGTGTTGTTCCAACCAGCCACCGGATCAGTTTCGCTGACCGCCTCATTTCCGCTTCAATTAGCTTGGAATCTTCCCTTAATTCAAAGCTGCCATGCTTGTTGCACAACTGCATGTGCAGGAGCACCAAGTGGATTCAAAACAGATGTGTAACAATGAGCAACTTCGCAAGCGCAGCGTCTTTATTGGTGCACCAGTAGGGGACGGGCTTCCTGCACCCCTCAGCCGCAAATGCGTGGCAGGCTGACATTTTACATTATTGCTACTGCTCTGTCCATGCACAACCCCCAATGTGCGTGGGAAGCGAATTTGAATCACGAGCTTTGCGTTGAATAGGATGGAGAGTGCTAGATGTCCGTGCTAAACTTCTGTGCAGATCATGTTCTTGGTAAGACGTTTTCATGAGTTGCATGAGGTTAGGCAGCAGGCCTAGGCCTAGGAGTATAGATTGACAGTTTTAAACTACCAATAAACTTCAAGGCGAATGGCGCGCCTGAACGCATGTAAAGGAAATCGCGCAAGTAAACATGACTGAGGTTTTGGATTGTTCAAGCGCGTTGCAAGTCGCAGGTTCGGTGTGTTGAAAAGGTGTGTTGAAGCCTGGTAGTATCACTGTAGTACATATTATTTCTGATTCCGATGCATCAGGGGGATTCGAGTCTAACCTCACTTCGCTACTAGTCTTCGAACGTTGTTCTTACAGAGCTCACGTTTGCGCAAGGTGCTTGAGCATTTCACCACTACCACACTACCCAACTCCTGGCCGCGCAAGCCTACACGAAACTGAAAGGACGCGATGCACTAAAACGCACCGGAAAATCGAGCACGGCAGGCCAGTGGTCCGGGTACCGAGGTCCATGTTCCAAGAAGCATACACCTGGGTAGGACATGTATGGGCAGACAAGGGCAGCTGAAAGCAACGTTCGCTCGTCCAGGAAAGCCACCTCTGTCCTGTGCGCGCCAGAGGGCACGAGACTGGATTGTCCTTCCGAGGACGACAACTGCAAGGTGCAAGAACTTAAATTGGCTACTCACAGCTCTTGTGAAGATCAGAATTCTTTCCCAATTGTGTCGCAACACCAAGGGTTCTTGCGTTCTGTCTTCAATGGATCGGGCTTGCCGGAATGTGCTGCACAGCCGCACGTGGCAAATGATAGGTTTAGCGAAGGAATTTTTTTCGCCGCACCATAGTGGCAGATGCGAAAGGGCCGAAAGGGTGAATACTGTTGTTTGAGGCTCCCGTGCGGCATGCGTGCAGAACAATTGCTCCCCAAATCCTCGAATCCTATCATTCACAGCAAATGCTGTAAATCAGCTCCCTGAGTCCCGATATTGACAAGGGATGCTCGAGGCTCGCATCTGCCACTATGGTGCGGAGCAAAATTTCCGTTGCTAAACCTATTATGTGCCACGTGCGGCCGTGCAACACATTCCTTCCGGCAAGCCCGATCCATTGAAGACAATATTTGTTGGACTGCGAAACCCAAAATCATAGCAGTATGTGGGGGAAGCCGTTTCGGGCGTTTTTCTGGATCCCGCAAGCTATGCATAAGTCTCGTGCTTCCGAAACCCGCCAGTACTTGCATGAATCCCGGCATTGCGATGCGCCAGTATTTGGGCGAACGCATTTTGTCTCTCATGGCGTGTTCTGGGAATTTCCTGCTGTCGAAGTATGGTCGTTCACTGTTTGGGGTTCTACGCTGGCGCTTGATTCATGTTGATAAAATCTTTCGGACATTTTCGGACTGCGCGGTCTATCTGTCTTAGTCACACGCTGTTCTGAAGGTGCCTTGTGTCGGAACATACTGCAAGGCCGGGACTTTGGCTCTGTCTCTCGATTGAGTTTTGCGGAAACAGCAGCAGATTTCAATATGCATGGGCTCCCATCTTGTGCTGCCGACTTTCCCAGCTTGCGCAAAGATGCTGCAGTGTCGACATATTTGGCCGACAAGGCATTGTGTGCCTCGGTAATGCAAGACAACCTGCCGGCAGGCTTGTGCCGTTGGATGTGCGTCTCGGCATCGAAAGCGGTGGATGAAGAACGGCCGCGATCATCCGAATGCTGGCGACTCTGATTACTGCTGCAGCGGACAGTTCAAGGAGGCCGGAATGAGTCGAGGGGAAAGACCACTGTCAGTCTCGGCACCCATCTGACAGGTTTACTGGTCACTCGCCAACACCCGGTATGGGACCTGTGCTTAAGACTGTCCGCCTCGTTCGCCTGAGACCTTTGCCAGTAGAAGCTGTGGTCAGGAGTCGTTTGTCACAAGCACAAAACACGTGGTCTCTCCACCGATTCCGAAATTGACCTCTTTCATTTCTGGTCCCTGTCATATCCTGTCATTTTCGATTGGTACTCTCTGGGACCTGGCCTCAATGGCGCAGGTGTGACATTGGTGCTTGACTCCGAACCGAGAGCTTTGTTGAGTCTTGGAGCACTCTTTGGTTCAACACTATTGCACTGGCAATCGTGACGCTACAACGCCCGTCAGTCCAACAAAGCCCTCCACGTTGCAAGCGACGCATGCCGGAAGTCAACAAATGATCATTGCTCTGGCATGTTGCTGCAATATCTACTCGTCTACATTTGCTGAGCAACCCATACGTGTACTTTAAACAACGACACGTACATGTGCCGACGTAGCCTGGGACTATGCCAGGCCTGTTTCAGTACTGGAGACAGCTTTGGTGCCAATGTTTGCGCTTGCTCTCGTGCAGTTTCATGAAGCAGCGCGGTTGTGCGGATGTTGACGGCTCCAGGAACAGTCTGTAGAGTTTGAATCATTTTCCAGGCCACACTCAGGCTATCCAACTAAGTATGGGCTTCGTGCCTTCTGCACACCCCAAGCATGTTAGCCGTTAGTACGGCAGTCAGACGTAATCAACTCTCATAGGCAGACGAATTTCTTGGCCCACAAAACGCACTGTAGCTCACAGAGAGGTGTTTGTAGGACAGTGCTTCGAACGCGGCTGCTTGATTCTGAGCTCCGTTTGAGAGGGCCCCCACAGTCGATGCAAGAGCCGTGGTGTTGAGGCAGGAAGGAAATGGCGCGTCTCGCATCGAGCTCAGCTATTGCTAAGCTTGTCAACAGTGCAGCTGCAGAACTGGAGGTTCGAGAGCGGTTGCTGAGCTTCTTCGATGGACAGGGCCTGAAAGAGAAAAACTGACACAACCCAGAGTGAGCGAAAATTTCGGAGCTTGAGGCGCGGAAAATGCGGCGGAGAATCCCGACCCGCTCCTGGACGTTGTGCACCTAGCCCTTGACTCTTGATGTTAGTGGCAATTTGCCTGCAGTCCAAGAATGGCCTGCCGAACTGCAGGTGGTGCACCAGTACCCGGAAGAGGCCGCATGGTTCATCAAGGTGCGCAAGACACCAGAAAAATAGGCCCAGTGGAACTCAGCGTTGACTTTTCAAGGTGGTGATGTTTTTCGGCAGCATCTCGGGCGTTGTTATCTCTATCCCCTGTGGACTCTTCCTGACCATGTGAGCCACGACGGAAGAGCGAGAGAAGGTGAGAGAGGTCCAAGGACGCAGTCCAACGTCTGCAAAGCTGCGTGAGGTACTGGGGGCCTTGCGGCCTCTGCAACCGACCCCTCAGGCATTGCCTTCCGGACATAATGGCATGCCAGACTGTGCAGATGCTCGAACAGGTACTGGATTCTGGTCCACTGTGTGCTGCAGCTGCTCCAGGCATGTCTGAACTTTTCTGCCATCCTTGGCACGCCTTCTGCTTGAGGCGCCAGTTCGGCTCGTCTTCTTCCTCCGCCTTTGTCACATCCAGCGCCTGAATGGCAACATCCAGGAGCTCAGTTGTGTGCCAGAAAGGGGAGAGAGCGGCGGTGGATGCTCGCTGCCATGCGAGGAGTGCGTGCGGCACCTGACGCACAGCGCAGCCTGGAGGACTAGTAAGGCCGGTCGCAGGAACAAAACGGGGAAAGACAAGTACAGAGAGATGGGCGGCCGGTCGCAGGTGGTGTCCATCGTCACCTATGGTTGGTTCATTCTGGGCGTGGCTGGAGCCTGAGAGTATCTGAGAGCCTGGGCCTTCACCGGACCGGAAGAGGATGGGCTCGAGGTCTGGCTGCTGAACTCCACGTACTGCAAGCCTTGCCCTGGCCTCTACCGGTCCGGAGCCGAGTGCAGAGTAGGAGAGACGGGACGACACAGAAAGGGAGATTCCAGAGAGGACACTCTCCTCGAGTGAGTTATCCTCCCCGTTGGAGCTGCCACCATCAGACTGGCTGAGTGGCTCTGTGAGGCTGTCTCTGGCAGTGATCTTCGCAGCTGTGGCCAGGTCTGACAACTCTAAGAGCACATGAGACCCATGAGCTCTTCACGTCACAGGCTGCTTATGACACTGATTGTCTTCTACCACTCTTTCCCGCCGCGCTTCCAGAACCAACCGCCCCCGAAGCCACGAGGAGGGAGCCTCAGCAACGGGAATTCGAGTCGAAACACGCGCAGCGCGAGTCGAAGCTTGCCTCCTTTAGCTTGGGATGTTTTGGGGCTTAGCGGCTTGAGGTGCCTCCCAGGAGCTCATCGACTCGATGCCCTTGGTTGTGCCAGGGGCTCGCGTGCGGGACGGCTCGCGGATGCTCGCAGAACTCGGATGATTCGCTGTTCTTGAGGTACTCCCCTGAGGTGCGCCCAGGCGACTCGGAGACCAGTTGCGCGGTGTCGGCGACCCATGGCAACAGGGCCCATGGCTTCTCGGCTTGCACCTTCTTTCCCCGCTTCAGGTGTTTGAGTGAGTTCGACAGAGATGCCGTGTTGCGGCGTCTGCCCTGCGGCCACAGCTTTCACAGGCGCAAATTTCGCTCCGAGCTCAGCCATGACCCTCGCTGTACGGAAGTTCGAAGCCCTGCAGGGGCTGCATCGACAAGTGGCTGAAAAGAAACAAGGCCGGATACAGCGGAATCTCGACCGACACGCCACATGACATTTACCGTTAACTCGAGGTTTGCCCTCTATGCCTCCAAGACATCGAGGACACTCATTATTGCTAGCTGCTGTCGCCTTTCTCTGTGCACCGCGGCGAGGTCCCACAGTCGCCGAAGGGCCGCTGGGGAAAGGAAAAGGCCAACTGAGGCACACGGAGCCTTTTGCTTCAGCTTCAATAGACGTTTTTGTCCGAAAAAGATCGGATTGTGATCCGCGCTTTGCGAGGAGGCTCAAAGCCTGGCTGCTGCCGGCGCTCAGCCGTAGGCCAGGCGCTGAGGTGCCAGTCCTGTCCCAAGCCAGCAGTGCCAGGCTCGCGCTGGGCGGAAGTCACGGCCGGTCACGGACACGCCTCGAGAAGTGATTTTAACTTGCAAGGGCAGGGGGAATTGGGAGACGGGGGAAGAGGGGAAGTCCTAGTTATGGGCACCTCCTTCCTCATTCGATGCTCACCTGCGTGGATGAGAGGGCTCAACTCCCAGCAAGTTCTGTTGTACCCTCGCCCGACTCATTCGCGCAGAAAGAATTTGACGGTTGTTCAGCTTCCTTTTCAAGCTTAGGGCCTAGGGCTTACGGCCTTCCCTGCAGCATGACGAGTAACCGGTAGAGACTGCTTCAAGTGCTCGCAAGCAGCGTCTTTTTTTTTGCTTCCCCCAACCAATGCAACTTCTCAATGCCGCGAGGGAAGACGGGGGAAGTCCCGTGGCAGGGGCCTCGTGATAGCCGGCCCCTGCACGGGTGACACAGGCGAACTCGCCTCGAAAGACCTTGGAACGGTGATTGTTGTAGCTATGGCAAAACAAGGGCCACAAATCGTACTTCTGTAGCTCTGTCAACCATATGTAATATGCCAGTGTTTTGAACGAGCTTCACGGATGCTGTTGCTGTCAGCTTGTTTCAGAGCCAAGCTGGCACAGCTTTTGTCACCTTGTCCAGAGCTGCGCAGATGCTGCAGCATGTCAACCCACGCAAACCTCGGCAGAATGCGGATTGAAAACAGATTGCTGACTCGAAGGTCGTTTCAGTGTGCTTAAAACAGGTTTCCCGGCCAATTATGGCAGGGCGCCTGTGCCCCCCGGCCGGAAGCAGAAAGGCTTCACATGCTGAGGCTTTTTCCCCGCACTCGAACCCGCAGCAGTTTTGGGGCACTCCTTCAACAGCATGTGCAAGAGGTGTAGTTGGAAAACATGTAAATGTCGTTGCTGCGGCAGAACGGTTCGAGATCTAATCACGATTACCGTTCTGCCGCTTGGACCGTGAATCCCAAACTCGTATGACGACTGGTCGGTGTCTTTCCTGCTGGCTATGGGTCGTTTGCAGATTGGAGGTATTCGCATCGGCTGTATTTCAATGGAATTGAGTCATCAATTTCAAGCAGCTTTGGACGATGAGTAGAACCTGGGTCAAAGATGATACATTCCCTACACCATGTTGTGAAGTGCTTCCGGATGATGAGCATGAAGCTGCAGAAGGAGGTAGGGAGGGATTTCCGAATCCCCCTCGCTATTTAACCGTAGATTCAGGGGACAAACTGAGTTCGCAAAAGATACGAACTGATGATGTACCTCTGCCTTTGTCTCTCAACAAAAAAGGCCCAACATTCTGAGCCTTACAGAAGAAGAGAGAGGGTGATCTAGACAGGAAAAACCCAACCTAGGAGAACAAAGCGTTTAAGGCTTAAATTGACGACACATCACTCGCGATATGCCGCAGCCAAATGAGAACCTGAGACCCTGGTGGACGTGTCCCGTGCAACAATCAGAGAGCAGCAGCAGAGCAGAGGGCAGATTCGGATTGAGACTCCGCCGCTGTGTCGAGGGGGCGGTTTGGCAGCTAGCGAGCTTTTCCCGGACCGGGGGGGTCGGGTAGCTCGGGTCTGCTTTGCAAAGCCTGCGCAGAGCCTGCACAGCTCTCCGTGATGCGGTGGCAGCTGCCTAAGCACATGACTCCTTCTCGCAGCCGGTTACGATCGGAATTCTGAGGCTTTCCTCCGTGCTTGCAGCGCTGTCTGCATCCTTCGCTACCTGGCACGCGCATGCGGAAAGCATAGTCAACCAGTGCCGGGAGCTGTTGGCGTAGGGCCTGGATGTGTTTGCGATCTCAATCAAAGCCTATCCGAAGCACACTCTTGAGAATGAGTGAGATCATCATTTAAAGTCAATATGACTGAGCAAGAACTGGCTCAATGCGTTCTTACGAAGTTGCCACACTTGCCCTGCATGTCTCAGATAGATGCTTCCTGTGGTCAGTTGGAAGCACATCCGACTACGGCAAGCTTTCTAGGCCTTCTTGCGTATGAAAAAGCCTGCAGTTGGCAGGTATGCTGTGGATCAGCGCCGCCTGGAGGAGCTTCGGAGGCGGAGAGCAGAGACCACAGAGACCCCTGAAGGAGAGAGAGCCCCCCATCCAAGCACAGTCTCGGTCCCCACATCGCCCAGAAATCGACTGCAAGGCTGAGAGAGAAGTAGAGAGCGAGCCAACTCGAAGACGAGTTGGGGAGTCTTTGCAAATCATTCTGCAATCCCTTCGCCTCCATGGTCAGCGGGGACGGGCATGGAGGAGCACACCGCACCTTTTGGAGGATCGCACTGCTTCGTTTGCGTCTTTCTTCTGGATGACGTCGTCACCCGTCGTTGCTCCTTCTGTGTTGGGCATGACGAGGGGGAACCTGCTTGGCAACTTGTGCAGGGGTTGCAACAACGTTTGCCTACGGGTGCGGCCTCACTGCTGCGATATCGAAGGTCAAGAGAGAAGTTTCGGCCGGTGGTGCGGATACCGCCGCACCAATAAAAACTAGGGTATGTGGGGGTCAGGGCGGGGGGAGAGCTCGAACGAGCCGCGGGTCCTTGCTTCCCTTTGTAGCGAAGGGGAGAGGACAGAGGAGGGCGGATCCAGCCTGCTCGCCAGGCTCCCGAGTCTTCCACCCGACAGCTGCGACAGCTGCCGGGTCACCGGGTTTTCGTCACAAAAAACTCAAGGCGCCGTTGGCTCTCCCGCTCCGAGGCCTGGAGCTGCAACGCCTCGTGGAGCAGCAGGCAGAGTCTGTTTTAGGCCCATTTTAGGCTTTTGAACTCTTCTTGTCATGTCATGTCCGGCGGTCTTTGAGGTTGCGCGGATCTTGGAGCTGGAAGGCCTGGCAAGGACGTGTGCTCTGGCTTTCGACTTTGCGAGCTTGCGGAGCACGCGAGGTGCTGGAGAGCCAACGGGAGACCTCATCGGAAGGAGCTTCAGCCTGCTGCAGGCGAGCAGATGGAATCCGGTAGCCAAAGCGCGAAGCAGCGAAGCGGCATCCACCGGCGCAGGACCTGGGTAGCCACTCTGTCGAAGAGGGCTTAGCACTGCGTGGTTCCTATCCAGCCTATGCCTACTCTTCGAAAGCACAACCCACAATCCCCGGCCTAAGATGTTGTAAACAGATGTGTGGCCACGTGCAAGGCTCGGGTTGGACCAGAGTCCTGAGTTCAATCATTATCGCAGTCTTCTATGGCCCGGTGCCCAGAGGCTTCCTGCACTGAGCAAGTCCTTGCTGAGCCTTGCGCATGCCGTGCCCAGGAATGCCACGGAAGTCATCCATGCTGAAGCTGCTCGAAGGCGCTCTCAACTCCACGTATCTCCACGTCTCCACATGTCGCTCTTTCGGTGAGGCTGGAGGGATTGCAGCCGGCCGATCGCTCGGACTGTCTCGCTTGCGACCGCGCGGAGTCGGGAGTGCGGGACCTGCACATGTGGAGTACACGCAAAAAGACATAAGCACAATCATGTTACTGGAATATCCTTACCATGTTGGGCTTCATTATCAGGGTTTTTTTTATGGGATATCCCTTTCCTAGTTCTTGCTTATGTGCTATTTTGGGGGGGCTCTGTACTTGGCCCAGGCTGCACTCAGGTAGTGGAAGGATGAAACGCTTGACATCCCCGAATCCAAATCCACTAAGGTGGTTCTTATGGCCGGCCAGAAGTGCTCCGAGCTCTATGGCCAGCTTCCTCCGGAGGCAGTCTCCTGTGCACCGAGAAATCGAAGCAAGCCATGCTGCAGCTGGTCGCATGCTAGCTTGGCATATCCAGAAGCTTCAGCTCTGTGAAGTTTCTTTGTCCCTTGTCTCAGGTGACGCAGCCAGTGCTGGGCGGTGTTCAGGCGGCCAAGGAGAGGCGGAGCTGCCGCTTCGGCAGAACTCCGAGAGGGGACGAACGCGAGAGAGAATGGCGAAGAAGAAAGCAAAAGTCTCACTCAAACAAACCTAACAGGACAGCGGCGTAGCGCTAGCGCGCAGGGGTTCGAGGGGTAACCCTTGGCCCCAAACGCCTCGCAAGCAAGCAAAGCAAGAGCAAGCAAGAGGTGTTTTTTGTTCGTCAGCGCAGGAGCTCGTGGAGCAGATGCTGTGGCAAACCAACAGCCGGCTTCAGGCGCCCATCCGCCATCCGCCGGCTCACCGTGTCACAGTGCAGATTGTGCAGGAAGGCCTCAGCCGGTTTTTGGACCGGTGCCTTGACTGCGAGCTCACTCCAGGCTGGTGCTTCAGATGCTAGCAAAGCGCTCTCCTAGGCACCCGCAGCACCGCCCCAGTCGGGGACCCGGACCGCCGGCCCGACGGGAGCCCTGAACCCCTTGCTGCCGAGGCCTCACCGGAGTGCCACCGGCCACAGCCTGAGAGCGGAGGTTGCGGCCAATTGCGGCACGTCGCCTTTGGAACATCCCGCGTGTTTTGGTACTCAAGATCGGAGTCGGCCAAAAGCCCGGTGTAAGTCCAAGTTCGATGAAACGAGTGGTGTTTTGGAGGTCGTGCTCCGCAGCAGAGTCACAAGCAAGCGAGTGGAGGCCCGCTCGGGCTCCAACAGCAGCAGCAAAAGATAAGACATCACACAGCAGCAACAAAAAGCACCCTGCCGCAATGCAGGGTGCAATGCATGCCATATCAGCAACAATGCCGCAAACGACCCTGGTATGCCTTTCTTCGTCAGCCTGCCCACGTGCTTCCATCTGGAACTAGCTTCAACACCGTTAGTTCCGGGGTATCGATTACCGTTTGCTTCGCGACGAAGCTGGCTGGGCAATGGGCAATCCGCCTTGTTGTCAAACACTTGTCGACGACATTCAGCTTTCATTAGGCTGCTTTCCCTTCATAGCCTTCCCGATTCCAGGTGCTCCGGATTGAAACAGTGCCATTTCTAGGTGGCACCTACAACATCGTTCCGGACGTATACGCAGACTGTAAACCGGTGTTGCCAGTCCCTTGTTGTTGTTTTCCCCGGACTTTGTGATGGGCATCTGGCATGTGTAGTGTCTGAACGTGTCATGCACAAGAAAATGGGCTGTTTGCAATACCGAGCTGATTGGGAGAGGCTTCGGCGTTGTGGGATATTGTGGTGGTGGGGGCGGTGGTATTACAGTCTTCAGCTTTGCAAAGTGACCTAGTCCAGGCATGCATCTTACATTTGTGCGTGTGGGTGAAGCCTCCCCAAGCTGGCAACCATCCAGTTGCAGCGGCCGTTGTCCAGGGAAGACTCCGCAGGGGGTTTGATGGCCCGGATGGGATGGAGCACGCAGCGTCATATGTGTCCCCGTTCACACTTTGGCCTCTCCGAGCGGCCCGAGGCCTTGGTCTTTGGAGTGCTGGCTTTGGGGCTGCTGGAGTCTCTGATGCGGGTGCCCCGAGCTGCCGCTTAAGCCAGCGGCCTGTTAAGCTTTACAGGGCTCTTGCTTGAGGTTGCCTGGCAAGGCATCAAAACGCAAGTGTGTCCGAGATTGCCCGAGTAGTGAAGAACATCAGAAGGCCTTATATGAATGTTAGGAAGGCCGAGGCCCGTCTGCCAGGGTTGCGGTAAACTGAGGTGGCTCCGTTCACTGCTACTCTGCTTTGGCGCGGGGCTCGGCACCGACGGGGCGGGGCGCCGGCTTTTTGGGGGGCCGCGCTGAGGCTGCTGCAGAAGACGAAAGCCTCGGGGCCAGGGCCAGGGCGGCTGGGGCCTCGGCCTTGGAAGGAAGACCTGGAGCTTGCAAGCGGCCTCGAAGGCAGGGAGAAGGAGAAGTCCGAGAAGGCGGAGAAGTCGGAAAAGGAGAAGAAGTGATGGAAAGCGCTAGCACCGGGGGCTGTGCAGGGGCTCAGGAGGTGCTGGGAGGTGCTGCAGAGGCTGAAGAAAAGAGGGGATCGCATGGGCATCGCATGATTTGTTTATCTCGCCCGACTTGCCAAGACGTGCCAAGTTTCATTGGCCTTTGGCCTTGCAAAGCTTCAGACTTCAGCCCCGAGGCCAGCTCTGATCAGAAGTGCTGCATGAGGCATTCGCAAGAGCACTGATCGCATGCGTTGCGACATGCCTCCGCAATGCCCTCTTCGACTCTACAGCATGGCCGTTTCTTCTGATCTCGCGGTCGCGGCCTGAAGGGCCCGAAGGGTGAAGGGGGTTGCGGCAACCGCGTGTCGCCCGAGTGACATTGATCGCTTGTTGGCTCAGCCCTCTTGGCTCAGTTCTGCTCCGCCCGAGGGCTCTCACTTTGCAGCATGGGCGCCGGCGGTTCTGCCGGAAAGAAAGCGCCACCTGGTCCAGGCTATCCCGTGACTGCAAGTGACCAGAAGCCCGTCGTGAGTGCTCCCGCCGTCACCGGTAATCCAGTGACCGCGGCTCCAAAGCCGCCACCTGCGCCGAAGGCTGCGGATGGCGAAGCGGGAGCCAGCCAGGCGAAAGAACGTTTCAAAAAATAGTTTAATCTCAGTGTTCGCACCACTGCGAAACCAGATTTTTCTTGCGGCCCCATGCAGCTTAAGTCTCTTTTCCAGCTCATCTGCAGCTTGTCCCACCGAGGCCCCGAATCATCAGAAGGTCAAGAGGGCATGTCAGCAGCCCCCTTTGAGACTTCTTAGAACTCCATCGACATCCCAGTGTCCCAGCTCCTTCTGCGTTTCCATTCGCACCCCTGGATGTGAAGCCATCGTTGATGTTCCATATGCGGTCTGCATTACCGTCAAGAAACTTGTCGGACCTGCTAGCCCACCCACTTGCAGGGGGCATTCCATCAGAAAGCTGCGAGAGCGATTCAGACCGTCGTGCTGTTACGCAACTTTGGTTGTATTAGAGCAGTTGGTGTGCTGCTGAGGACTTCGAGCCTCGACAACCACAGTAACAAACACCGTAACCCGGGTAAACTACAGGCCCAGTTCCACGCAAATCGTTTGATCCAAAGACAGAAGTCGACACACTTCGCATTCGTGACCCGTTCTTCCATGCTGTGTGAGAGTGGAGGGCATGGCTGATTCAAAGATGAGCTTGTTCCGCAACAATTACCAAGGGTCTGAACGTCGGCCTGAAGCCTCTTACGCACCTTTGGCTAAGCGCATGTGGCTTGTAGGTGCCGTCCTGTTTAAATATGGCTTGTTCAGCATGCTTCGCTCAATGCCTTTGAGCAAAACCCCACGCCCAATCCTGCAGCCAGGTGGTGGGTGGGACTTGGACGAAGCCCTCAAACACGGGACCATCGCCCGAGGACGCCAAAGTGGTGGCGGAGTGGAAGGCGGCGGGAAGGTTAGTAGAGATGGAAGGCGTTTGGTGCGCCGTGCCCTACAAGATAACCGTGATTGCCGCCGAAGGCACGGCAGAAGCAAGCGAGGCACAAAGGATTGTCGACGAGGTCTTCGGCGAAACAGAGAAGACCTTCAGCCACTTCGTCGAAGACTCCGAGGTCTCGCAGCTCAACAAGCTTGCAAAGAAGACGCTCTTCAAGCCTTCACCGGCCATGAAGAAGGTCCTCTCCGCCGCGGGCACCATCAATCGCATGACTCGTGGAGCCTTCGACCCTGCGATTCTGCCCTTGGCAGCGCATTACAAGAAGACCCCAGGAGTGGAGCCGTCCAGCGACCTGATAAGCCACAGTAAGTGGTCTGCCTTTGAGATCACGGAGGAGGGTGTTACCAAGCAGCACGACAGCGCCATGATGGATCTCTGCGGCTTGGCCAAGGGCTGGGCTATTGACGAGATGAGCCAGAGGTTGAAGGACTTTGGCTTCACTGCGAGCTATGTAGATTGGGGTGGTGACATCAAAGTTAGTGGCCAGCATCCGACAGGCCGCAACTGGACAGCCGCCGTTCTTGAGCCATATCCTCTGAACGGCTCCAATGAGCCTGAGAAAGCCGACGAGGGAAAAGAGGCTGAGCACATTGCACACATCGAGCTCAGGGACGGCCAGGCCATCGCCACTTCAGGCGACTACTTGCAACAGTTGGCGGATGACAAGAACCAGAAGACTCGGTGCCACGTCTTGGATGGCCGAAGTGACAAGAAGCTCGTGCAGATCTCTCATCATTCCGTTGCCTCGGCTTCGGTGGTTTGCAGCTCCTGCATGATCGCAGATGCGTTGGCCACGTCCGCCCTGGCTGTAGGGGAGACGTCCGTGAGGGAGTCACGGAAGCTCCTGGAGATCTTCACAGGCCATGCCCTCAAGGACATGCAGCCACGCAGCATGTGACCAAACAGCGAGCATGCCTAGTTCCTTCCCTTTGCCTTTCCTTTGCGATTGCAGGACCCGGTCACAGACTTCCTGCTTTTCTCGCGGCTGGGCCCTCGGGTGGTGCGCTGGCGCCCCCCGGGTAGCGAGGCTCAAGAGCACCGCGAGCTCCGCCACGCCTCGCACGAGGAAGGCGCGCTCGGAGTCTGCGTCTCCTCCTTGCGCTCCTTTGCGAATGCATTCTAAGCTCATTCGCCATTCGCCGTTCACCCCTGCAGGCGCCCATGTGGTCATCGTCGGAGGCGGTCTCGCGGGAGTCAGCGCCGCAGTCGAGGCCGTCAAGGCCAAGGCCACGGTGACTCTCCTCGAGAAGGCGCAGCTTCCACGAACCCAATCGCCATGGGGCTAGTGTAAAGGTTCTCAAAGAAAAGACGGCGATAAAGGAAGTGTGCCATGAGTTCGGCGAGCTCCCTCTTTCTCCCTTTGAAGACTGTCTCCTCCCTTCTACGACCCTCTGTTCAGCTTCACAGACCACCCATCACAATTAGCACAAATCGTATGACACGAGGAGCACGCACTACATTGAGGCCAGGGTGCCTTGCACCAACCCTAGTGCGTCTGTGTTGGGCTAAGTGGTCTTGGAAGCATTGGCCGTGCAGATGGACTTCCATTTGGGGTTGAGACTCTTGTCTTTGATCATCATCCGTGCTCTCTGGCATGCCATGAAAGGAGGCTCAGCTGGGCGGCAACTCTGCGAAGGCCACGTCGGGCATCAATGCTTGCGGCACACGGGTGCAGAAGGCACATGGTGTGGACGACGATGTGCGATGGTTGGAGCGCGACACCTTCGTGAGTGCCAAAGGGGGCAGCTCCGACCAAGGATGCGTCTCGATGCTGGCTTCCAAAAGCGCCGAGGCCATCCATTGGCTCATCGACGAGCTTGGCATTCCTCTTAGCCCGTTGGCTGCCTTCTTGACATGTCCAGCTCGCGGGCCCATGTCATGTCGGGTGATGCGATTTCGCC